CCTACCAGGTGGGGGGGGACCCGTGGGGCAGAATGGGGCCCCACTGCACCCTATGGACCCCATTGGGGCCGTATGGGATGGAGCCCCATCAGGGCACTATGGAACCTCCGCTAGACACTGTGAGACCCCATGGGGCGCTATGGGGTCCTGCAGGCGCTGACCCTACAGCAGGAGGGCGAGGAGCTGCCTGGACAGGCTCGCTGCCCCTTCGACGCACGGCAGAGCATCGCAGCCACTTTTGCCGGTGGGTGACACCGAGGGGACAGAGGGGCGTTGGTGATGCGGAGATACGGGGCTGTGGGGATGTGGGGCGGTGTTGGACTGCCCGACTCACCATCCCCGTGTGCTGACCCCACAGACGACCGTCTGTACTCTGCTACCGTGGCGGACTTCCAGGCGAGCGATGCCGTCATCTACCGCAGCATGCGCGGCCCGGCGCTGCGCAGCATCAAGTACAGCTCCCGCTGGTTGAGGGGTGCGTGGGGACATCGGGCTGCGGGCACTGCGGGTGCTGGGGCGCAGTGGTGCTGATGGCCGCGCTGTCCCCAGAGCCGCACTTCGTCCACGCGATGCCCCACGGAGCACACGTCTATTTCTTCTTCCGGGAGATGGCGGCGGAGCTGGGGCTGCCGGGGAAGGTGGGGCATCCATAACTGTGGCTCCACGGGAGCAACCCCGACCCCAGTCCAGACACTGAAGCTGACCCCATAGCTCTGGCCCTGACCCTAATCCTGACCCCGACCCTGACCCCGGCCCCTTGCCGTGCCGCCGTTCCCACCCCCACCGCCTGGGGCGCTGTTCCCATGGCAGCGAGTGCAGCTCCCACCCCCGCCGCTGGGGGCGCTGCTCCCGCCGCAGGTGCCGGTGTCCCGCGTGGGCCGCGTGTGCCGCAATGACGCCGGCGGCTCCCCGCGGGTCCTGGAGCGGCGCTGGACGTCGTTCCTGAAGAAGCGGCTGCAGTGCGCCGTGCCTGGGGACGTCCCCTTCCACTTCGATGTCCTCGAGGCCGTCACCGCGCCCCACACTCTGCACGGACGGCCCGCGGTGCTGGCGGTGTTTGGGACGCAGCGCAACAGGTATGGGGACAGCAGGGATGTGAGGACGGGGATGTGGGGACATGGGACATTGGGACACAGGAACGTGACTGTGGGGACACTGGGAAATGGGACACTGGGGACACGGGGATATGGGACACTGGGGACTTGGTGACACAGGGGGTATTGGGGACTTGCGTATATGGGGACATGGGGACACAGGCACATGACTTTGGGAACATGGAACGTGGGGACACCGGGGACGTGAGCACAGGCAGATGGGGAAACAGGGAGCCGGGTGCCCAAGGGCACAGAGGCGACGTGAGCGTGGGCTGAGGGCAGACGTGGTGACATGGCTGCGTGCGGGGACACGGGGACTCGGAGGTCGGGGCCGCCGGGTGTCCCCAGGCAGAGCCCCGCGTCACCCCGCAGCATCCCGGGTTCGGCCGTCTGCGCCTTCTACCTGGCGGATGTGGAGCGCGCCTTTGAGGGACCCTTCGCCGACCCCCGCGGAGCCGCGGCCCCGTGGCCCCCAGTGCCCGAGGAGCGCGTGCCCCGGCCCAGGTGCCCCGTGTCCCTTCGCCGTGTCCCACTGCCCTGCAGCCGTGTTCCCCGTCCCCACCTCCCCGTCCCCACGTCCTCCTGCAGCCGCGTCCCCACGCTCACGTCCCCTCGTGTGCCCGATGTCCCCAGACCCGGCTGCTGTGCAGGGATGGGGTCGGCCGCTGCCGTCGTCACCTCTGGGGACATTCCGGATGAGACGCTGTCCTTCGCCAAGGAGCACCCGCTGCTGCACGGGGCGGTGGCGCCCGCAGGGGGACGGCCGCTCTTCACCCAAACCGGCACCAGGTGACGGGGCGGCGAGGTGGGGGACACGTGGGGCGGCCCTGGGGACACAAAAAAGGGACGCCGAGCGCCTCGGTGCACGCAGGCTGACGCAGCTGGCGGTGGACGTGGGCGCGGGGCCGCGGGGGAACCAGACGGTGCTGTTTGTGGGGTCGGAGGACGGGCGGGTGCTGAAGGTGCTGACGGCTGCACGACGCCCCGGGGACAACGGGCAGCACGGCGACACTGCGGGACACGGGGATGAAAACGGGGACAACAACGGGGATGGTGGCACTGAGGCGGTGCTGCTGGAGGAGATCAGGCTGTATGAGGCCGGGAGGTGGGTGCCATGGGGTCATGGGGGGCGCTGATGGGGGCTTTGTGGGTGCCATGGGGTCATGGGGGCGCTGATGGGGGCTTTGTGGGTGCCATGGGGTCAGGTGGGTGTGGTGGCGTTGGGTGGGCGCCCATGGTTGGGTGCCACGTGGGACTGCTGGGGGTAATGGGGCCATGTGGGTGCTGTGGGGCGCCTCTGGGCACTGCAGGGCTTGTGGGGTCTGCAGGTGCCGGGGGCCGCGCGGCGCCAGCCGGGTGCTGGGGTTGGAGCTGCACCCCGAAGGCCGAGAGCTGATCGTCGCCTTCTCAGGCTGCATCGTGCGACTGCCCCTGAGCCGCTGCGCCCGGCACGGGCAGTGCCGCCGGTATGGGGACACGGGGGGCACGGGGGACCCCCGGCGGCCCCACGCTGAGTGCTGACCCCACACAGGAGCTGCCTGGCGGCGCGGGACCCCTACTGCGTCTGGCTGCCCCCCGGGGGCTGCGTCCCCTTCTCTAAGGACCTCCCGTGAGTGTGTCCCCTCCTCCCCAGTGCGGTGTGGGGCTGCAGTGGGGCAGAGGTGACCCCAATTCTTGGGCGTCCCATCCCCGGGGGGTGGGGGACCAATGTGTCCCCATTGTGTCCCCACTGTGTTCCCAGGGATGGCTTTGAGCAGGACGTGGAGGGGTCCAGCGGGCTGACGGGGACCTGCCCAGGTGAGGGGACAGCAGGGACATCTGGGGATGTGGGGTCTGGGGGGAATGCAGATGGCATCAAGGGGGGCGGCTGGGGAGAGTGGGGGGGTGGGGGCACAGAGGAATATTTGGGGACACTGGGAGATGTGGGGAATATTGGGGGCGTTGGGAGACATCCGGGGCCCTTGGGCACCGCGGGTGACACCAGGGGGACCTTTGGGATACACTGGGAGGGGGACATGGGTGGTCCCAGACTCGACCCCGCTCTGCTCTCCCAGGTGCAGCATCTGCAGGGGACAGGGATGGGGACAATGGGGACGTGGCCCACGGTGAGTGACACCCACGCTTCCCCCAGCTGGGACAGTCCTGGGGGGGACCCTGAATCTGGGAGGGGACACACGGACCAGGAGGGGGCTGTGGGGCGGGGAAGGGGCACGGGGAGGGAATGGGACCCAAAGGATGGGGGGAGGACCCCGAGGACCATGGGCTGGGGATGAGACAGGGGGGATGTGGGGACAATGGAGGGGCCTTGGGGACAGGAGGGACGCAGGGACAGAGGGACCCGGGAGGGGGAGAAGGACCTGAAGGACCACGGAGGGGGACGGGACGGGGGAGGAGTGGCAGGAGGGACGCGGTGCCACCTTTGGTGCTGCCTGCAGGGGTCCGCGGAGCGGTGCGGGAGGCGGCGGTGCCGGTGCCGGTGCTGGTGGGCTGCGTGCTGGGCGCCTTCGTGCTGGGAGCGCTGGTGGCAGGACTGGGAGCCGCCTGTACCCGCCGACCGGCAGCACCCAAAGGCGCCCCCGAGCCCCCCAGCCCGCACCCCTCGCCCGCCCCGCGCCTCTACCCCCCGCTGCCCCCCCACGACGGGGCCCCGGACCCCCACCCCGAGCCGCCCAGCCCGGAGCCCCCCACCAGGACGCCCCACGGGCTCAGCGCCCCGCAGCCCCCCGGCCCGGGACCCCCGCTCAGAGCCATCCCAGAGGGCTCGGGAGCCGCAGGGCGGTCGCTGCCCCCCCCCGGCCCCGTGGCCAACCGGGTGCAGCCGGGTTCCGCTTCGTTGGCCCCGTGGGACGGAGCCCCGCGGCGCCTCGACGTGCCCCCCGACAGCCCCCCGCCGCCCCGCCGGCCGCTGGCACAGAGACACTCCCTGGAGGGGGCAGCGAGAGCAGCCGGCGCGGCGCGCGGCCTCATCCGCATGCACTCCCTGGGGGCTCCGGGGGGGGCCCCGCCGTGGGCTCCCCACGCCGTTCCCCTGCAGCGCTCGCTCTCCGTGAAGCCCCCCCTGCCGCCCAAACCCCCCCCGGTGCCCTGAGCCCCTGCGGGTCCCCCGCGCCGCAGGGACACGGGGGCTCCGTATCCGCTCTCCCACCGCCCCCAGGTGACGAGTGTCCCTACGGCCCCCCGCTGCTGGGGTCCCTCGTGCCCCCACATCCCCGTTTTTCATGTTTTCCCCCTAATTTATTCAGCGCTGTGGGACCCCCCGGGGGGCGGGGCTGCGCCCCAGGGCTGGGCTTGTCCTACCGTGTAGGGCAATTAAAACCGCGTCGGGCAATTAAAGAGACGAGCGGTGCGTTCTGCTGCCCGCGTGGCTCCGCTGGGCCGTGGGGATGGGGGCGGGGGCTGGGGGTGCTCGAGGGGGACGGAGGTCGGGGCAGAAGAGGGAGCTGCTCCCGGTGGGGGTACAAAGCAGTCCAAAATCGTCTCAAGGTTGACATCTCCACGCTTCCAAATACGCAGAGCGGGAGCTGCCCCCCGGGGGGCCGCACAGATGCACAGAGGGCGGGGGGGCGGCACGACCCCCACCCCCTGAGCGGGGGCGCCAGGCGCCGTGCCTGGCACAGGGCGACCCTGGTTCTGTAAGGGCAGATTAAAGCAGTAATGCGATTTGCGGGAGGTGCCTGGGGGGCGGGGAGGTCGCCCCTCACCCCCCTGCCGGTGTGGGTTCGCTAATTCAGCCCTAACGAAGCCCCCAGAACCGTGCGTCACCCACACGGGGACAGCAGTCGCCCCTGAACTGCGTGTCAGCGCGGAGGGCCTCCTCTGCCCCCACCTTTGGTCACAGAACTGGGACCAAAGGACAGAACCAACCCACGGACTGCAAAGAGCGAAAACAAACAACCCAAACATTCGGGCAATGAAAACAGCTGTTGTTAGAAAAGGTTTTGGCATCTTCAGAGAAGAGCTGCTCAGTGAAAAAGCGGCCGGTGCGTCCGGAGCCGCCCTGGCTCTCGCAGCTCGTCCTCGGCCTGCGGCACACAGGGGGTCCCGCCCAGCCCCCACCTCCAGCTCTCCTCGCTGCCTCGGCCCCCGCTGGCTGCAGCCGCGCCGGCAGCGCTGTGTTTCCGCTCCAGCCCCGCTCCCACAGCCACCGTTAGGAGGTGTCGGACCCCGCGGCGCTGTCGGCCACCTGCTCCGTTCCCAGCGCGGTTCCCTCGCCGTCCTCTGAGCTCACACAGCTGCGCACGCCTTGCTGATGCTGTTCCGCTTCCCCAGTGCCGTGCTGGGCCGCTGCTGGGCCGCTTCCCCTTCGGTGCTGCCCTACGGAAAACAGAGCTGAGCTGCAGAAGCTGCACCGTGCAGGAAGGGCGCAGCAGCACAGCTGGCTCTGAGCAGCACCCGGCGCCGCGGCACAGCAGGACAACGCACAGGGCTGCGATGGGGATGAGAGCAGAGGCTCAGTGCAGCCATTTCCCCGTTGTGCCCCGTGAGGCTGCTGGCACCGGGTGCCACACATCCCCAGAGCCGCTGAGCAGCACCAGGCCGGCAGTGGCTTGTGGCTGTGAGGCTCACCTCACTTTCCTCCACGTCGTTCCTGTTTTGCTCTGCTTTCAGCCTCTTGGCTGGTGGCTTTTCTACTCCTTCTGCATCGCCCCTGTCCCCAACTGCGGTTTTCTCTGCAGCCCAAGCAGCAGCTACAGCTGGGAAACCAAGAGATGACAGAAATGCAATGAGCAGCTGGGGCCTTCCAGCCGAGGAACAGAGCTGTTCTCAAACATCCCCTGTGCAGGCAGCCCCAGGACCAGCTCTGGGCACTGCCACAAAAACCCTCTGAGAAGTGTGTTCTGAACCTGATAACACGGGCAGCAGCAAGAACCACCCAGCCCAGGAGAGACAGACAGTGTGAGCACCGAGGGCAGCAATGCCCCACAGCTCACAGAACGGGTTACAACCAGGGATCGTTTGTAGTAATTTGGCAAGCAATTCTGATCAATTAACAGCTTTAGAGGACTGCTTTCCATTCCCGAGGCCTGCAAGCAGACAGCAGCGATGTAACCCTCAACACCGGAGCTCATTTCCTAATCCCTTTTCCTGCTCCGATATTAATCCACATCGGCACGCAGCCCTGCGGGCGCTGAAGGCTCTCAGGAGAGCAGGCCGAAGCGCCCTGAGGAAACGCAAACACGGAGCAGCTCTGGAGCTCAGCCCGGCTCTGTGCCCCACCTTCACACCTTGCGCCCCCAGCCCAACCCCCACAGCGGCCGCGCAGTGAAGGCCGGGGGGCCTCGGATCTCTGCTTAAGGAGGCCGACGCGGCTCCGCGATCCCGTTCTGCTCAGCTCCGGTCACGTTCAGACAGAGCTCCACGCGGCTCCCAGACACCCGGCAGCTCCGTGCCGCGCGCCCAGCAGCGCCCTCGCGGTGGCGAGCGGAGAGGAGCAGCGCCGCCCTGCCCTGCCGGCTGGCTCCGGGCACAGCGGCCCGGGGAACCGTCGGCCTTCAGGGCCGCAGGGCCCGCTGCCGGCCCTCCGCTCCTGCCCTCCCGCCCGTCCCGCGCGGTGCCGGCGAGGCCGGTTGGCTGCGGGCTGCCGGGGCGACGCCGTCGGTGCCGATGGTGACGACGCGCTGCCCTCTGCTCCTCTGCGTCGCCTTGGGAAATGAGGTCAGTGCCAACAGGAAAACAACAGAAGTCAGCGTTTCCGCCTCTCTTCCTTGAATTGAAACCCAGGCCGGGTGGCCGAGCTCAGGTACGACCTGGGAATAGCGAGCCTTAGCGAGAGTGGGGGAAACAGCACAGCGCGCCGAGAAAAAGCTCTTTTCTGCAGATTAGCGAGACCAAAGCATTAGCATTCCAGCTCATTAATTAGGAGGACTGCAGCTGGAAGCAGCTGGTAAGCAGATCTTCCTTCATGACCCTTCCCCGGCTCTGAGGTGATGATGGCAGCCGCTGCCCCGGGTTCTGAGCAGACAGCAGGCGGGACGGCACGGCCTGCAGGGAGTGGGGACAGCGGGGAGCTGCTGTGTGCTGGGAGCAGAGGGGGGACATCCGAGCACAGGGCTGAGAACCTCCGTGGCACTTGCACAGCTCCAGTGACCTCAGTTTGAAGCACTGAGCTGCGGAGAAAGAAAGACCCAAAGGGGAAGGGTGGTGTGAACTCTGACTGCCACGCTCCTAAACGCGACCCGGCTCAAAGGGCAGGCGAGGCCCTTTCCTTCTCCCCCCTCGGTTCAGTAAGGGAAAGTACAGTCACTGCTGCAGCGATCTGAGTGTGATAAGCAGAGCTCAGCTCCCCAAACAATGCTCCTTCCTCCAATTGACCGCAGCGATTCCTATTCAAAAGCAGACTTTGTAAGAACGGAGCAGGAAATCTGAGGTTAAAGGGTGCAAACAGCCCTTTATTGGCACGCACACAACCTACAACCGCCCCACAGGCTGAAAAATCAGCACTAAAAAGATCCTGCACCTCACCCAGCACCACAGGGGAGTCCTTTCCCCCCTGCAGCCCATCTGCTGCCCTCGCCCTCGATTTTAGGAAGGTTTTGAGGGACCGATTTGCACAGAACGCTCCCAAGGCCTGGGCTGCGCACACAGCTCGCAGCAGCCCATAATCGGATTCCTCGCACCGGCCGAGCGCTAATTCCTCCGTCAAACCCCTCCAGGCTGCGGGATATTCGTAGCGGTAAAAGGGTTGAAGGGCCGCCGGCGGCCGCTGATGCCCTCTGGTGGGAAACGAGGAGCGCAGCACGGAGCAGCGCCGCCGGTCACCGCGGGGCCGAAGGAGGTCGGCCGGGATCCGAGGAGCGCTCAGGGGAGGACGCTGCGCCCAGCCTGCGCTCAGCCGCCCGCCCGTGTGGTGGGAAAGGAGCAGAGGTTTGGATTTCCCCAAACGCAGTTAGTGACAAACTCTGGAATTACCCCAGCCCCCGTTTGGCTCAGCCTTAACTGAGTGCTTTCCCACCAAAGCGTGGCTTACAAAGCAATGAGGAACCGAATTACTGCCACCAACACAGGAGCCACGAGCACAGTGTGCGTAACGCACGTCCGCAGGGCTGCTCATTCTGCAAGGACTTTCCCTCTTCTCCTTGCTCAGCACTCGCAGATCGTGCACCCAGCTCCTCTGCAGCCAACAGAGAACAAAGCCAACACCCCCCAGCAGCGCTGCAGTGCTGAGGGTTTTGCACAGGCTACAGCAGCCATTCCTCTCTTGCAATCATCCTAATCCATCTTCTGAGGCTCTGGAGCAGCCCCACAGCTGAGCTCCGCCACACACAGCGGATCCAGCCTCCTGCGCGGGCTGGGAATCACCCAGCAAAAAGAGAGAAAACTCTTGGGCTCCGTGGCCAGAATCCAACACCTGCTGTGCGTGGTGGCTGCCCTTCCTGCACCCAACATCCGTCTGCCCTCTGCTGCGAGCACTCTGCACCCCTGCCAACGCAGGGACGTTCCCACACAGCCCTGTGACAGCAATGCGGAAGGGCTGCGGATCTGCAGCGTCACACCGAGAACACGGAGCCGCCAGGGAAAGATTCCCTCAGAACCATCGGCTCAGTTCTCCCTGCAGCTTTGTGTCAATCACCAGCAGGTTCCTCCCCCGTCAGCCTACTTGCAGGGTCACCGGGTCTCCGGATCGTTCTTGTCCAAAGCGACGTCAGGGGGTGATTTATCAAACTTGCCCAAGGCGTGGACATGGGCTCCGTATCTGACGAGCAGCTCCACCACGGCCCGATGGTTGTGTTCTGCTGCCCAGTTTAAAGCAGTCATTTCCAGCATGTCCTTGGCATCCACAAATCGTTCTGAAAGAGGAACGCGGCCCATCAGGGTGCTTCCCGCAGCACAGAGCACCGAGGAGCAGCAAGAAACCCTCAGGGCTCAGCCATGCCCTCAGCCTGGGCTGTTCCTTGCCAGGTGTTGTGCCAAAGACACAGAACTGACACGGTGGGTAAAGAGGTAACATTGAAAGAGCTGCTCTGAAAGAGGCTGAGCATCACAGAGAATAAATGGCAAACAAGGAGTCAGGACAGCATTTAACCTCCGAGCGGCTCCCCAACCCCAGCAGTGATCCCTCATAGAGAGAAGGCAAACCTCGTAACTCCCGCCAAGGTCAGAAAAGGAGCAGAACCCAAATGCCACCAGTCCTGCAGTCAGCCCCGCAGACAACAGCGTCTCTACTGATCCCAAACCACGCCAGCACCCAACCATTATGGCAGCACAGAGAACCACTGCATTTTCCCCCACATCAGGGTTACGCTGGCATGCCGCTCTGTGAAAGCCCAGCTTTAAAGCCCATCCATTCACTCTGACAACGCTCCAATTGTCTACACACAGTGTGCAGGCAGGCCGTGGGCCGTGCAGGGCAACAGCAATTCCAACTGCACCGAGGCCACAATGCAACATCTTTTTATTGCCTTCAACTGCTTCTCTATGAAACTGCTGGAAGCTCTAAGAGGGCCTGCTTTTAAATGAAGAATTCAAAAATGAAGCGCTGCAACACTGCACACAGAGCCACCAGGAGGCCCTGCAGCAGAGCCAAGCGCAAACCTCAACCCCACTTCTCACTGGGCAGCGTCGCCTTTGGCAGCTCTAAAATCACATCTTGTATGTCTGCGTTGGGAAGAGCTGTGAACTTAAGTGTTCAGCTGGAACATGCAACGCTTGAGGTTGGGAACCAAGAGATGTTTGGCTCACTATCACGAATGCATCAGTGCAGGCTGGGGGCTGAGCTGCTGAAAGCTCTGTGGGTGCCGGCGGCCAGCAGACGGACCACGAACCAGCAGCGGGCCCTGCTGGCCAAGAGGGATCCTGGTTCCCTCTGAGCTGCAGCTCAGAATGGGGCCGGCAGGGCAGGGCGGCGCTGCTCCCCTCCGCTCTGCCACGGGGAGGCAACGGCTGCAGCGCTGAGCCCAGCACGGGGCTCCCCAGTTCAGGACAAACCCGAAGTGCTGGGAGAGCCCTACAGAGACGGTGGGGCCTCAGCACCTCCTGATGGGAGCTCCGGGACCGTTCACCTGGGGAACAGCTGGCTGAGAGGGGTCTGATCAGCGCTGATCTGAAGGGCGGAGCTCAGGAGGAGTGCCGGGCTCAGCTCAGCACAGGGTAAGGGGCGGTGGGCTCAGCCTGGAGCCCAGGGAATTCCGTCTGAACATATAAACTTTTGTGCTGTGAGGAGAACGGCGCAGAGGAATTGAAGAGAGCTCTGGAGAGATCCAACCCCGCCTGGACGCAATCCCGCTGCAGGGAACTGCTCTGGGGGGCTTTGGAGCGGAGGACCTCCAGGAGTCCCAGCGCCGCAGTTGTGGGATCCTCCGAACGCTGCAGCTCATAGGAACCGCTGCAGAGCCCCAACCACGGCGCTTCGTCACACAGTCACCTCCCTCAGCGCTCACCTACGGGGCTGCACCGAACCCTACGGACCCCCATCACCCCTCAGGGCGAACGGGCCCTCCCTGCCCCCACCCCAAAACGCTCTGAGGACCCCCATGAGAGACCCCTAAAGACAACCCGCACCTCATTGTCCTCCCATCGTCCTCCCGACGCCCGTCCCTCACCGTTCCCTCACACCCCACAGCTCCACTCACGCTCTTCTCGCCCCCCCCGGCTCTCAGCCACCCCCACGCCCTCCTTCCCCCCTCACAGTGGTTCCCGCCCCTTCCCGCCGCGCGCACGCAAAATGGCCGCCGCGGAAGGATACGGCGCGCAGCGACAAAAGAGTCCGCCGGGAGCGGAGGGAAGGAGATGGGGTCTGCAGCGGGCACGGGGCGGTCTGAGGGGTTCCTCTTCCTTCTTTCTCCTCTTTCTTTCCGACTACAGGGCGGGAGAAAGGTGCCGAGAATCCTAGGGGCCCACCGGGGATTATTTTCTGGAGCGGAAGGATCTCAGTTTACCTCACGCAGAGGGAGCGATGAGTCCTCATAGTTCCGGCAGAGGCGTTTGGCGCCAACTATAAAAGGGCGGCGGCGGCCGCGGCTGCGGTTCTGTGAGGGTTGGGCTGCTTTTGGTGCGTGCGGTGTTTGGGGGAGCGGGGTTCAGAAATGTGCGATTTTTGCCTGTAGGGTTTTTTTTTTTTTTTAAAACTTGTATGTTTTACTGCTGGCTACAGCGCTGCTTCGGTGCGTTCCTGATCTCTGTGCCCCGTGTTCTCTGCTCCCATCCCTCCTTCCCTCCTCTGCTTTGTCCTGTCAGTTCTCTGCACCTCCAGGCAAAGTGAGGCGCTGTTTATTCATTTTTAACCCGCAGTGATGATTTACAGTTGAAGTGGGCGCGGTGTCTGAGCCCTGGAAGTGATCTGTGTGGGGGGGGTTTATGGGGTGGAATGCGTTGATGGGAAGGAACCCGTAGAGCAGGACCCAAAGGCTGCGGGAGCTGGGTGACCCACCGGCTTACAGATCGTATCCTGAGCCCCAGAGAGCGGCGTGGGGCCGGAGATGGCAGCCTTATTCCTTCCCATTAAAGAAGGTGCTACGTGGAGCTGAGCAGCGCAGCACCCAGCGATGCGGTCCTGGCACTGAGGATAGGAAAGGAGCAGCACTCATAGGAGGACATTCAGCCTTTATTGGCAGGTGCGGAAGGCGGCACAGGGAAGCAGCAGTGCCAGAGTGCCGGCACAGCGGCTGTGTGCAGTGTGGGGCCGTGGCAGAAACCAGGACAAACCTGACACAGAGTTCTGTGGGGGCGGGGGGGGTGAACACAGCGGGCGGGGGGCGAAAGGCGTCGAGTTGTGGAGGAAAATGGGGCGGCGGCTCTACTTTGAACCCGTTTTTCTCTCTTTCAGGCAGGAATGGGACGCAGCTGTGTTGACAGGATGCTGGTCCTCCAGTGGCAGCTGTCTGCAGATGCACGGGCTGTGCCTGCTGCCAGCAGTGGAGGTGATGCTCCTCGCGGATGGCTGGGCAGCCCCACGTGAGTTATGGGCTCAGATTGGCACCCACTTTTCCAGCCCGTGTTTTGGAGTTGGGATTTTCCACCTCTGCCAGCAGTGCATCATTGTCAGAGGTGCGGCTCTCACTGGGGAGTTGTGCCCAGCTCTGGTGCCTTCCCAGCGCTCTGACTGCCACCAGCCGCCTGCCCCTCTTTTTTTTAGGTCACTTTTGGGATGTTTTGCATCACGGCTTTCCTACGGCTTCCCATGGCACTGCATCCAACCCCAAACGCACCCACAATGACAGAGCTGCTGTTTGCTCTCCCAGAAAACAATCTTGGGGGGGGGGAAAAATAAAACACCACAACCAAAGCACATAAAAATCCGAAGCGAGTGGAGCTTTGGTTCCTTTTTCTGATTTCAGCACAGCGCTGAGGAGCGAAGCAGACGGGTTCCATCCCAAGGACAGCCTGGCTCCGCTCGCCCCGCCACGTTCCCAGGAGGGATGGAGGAGGTGAGGCGGTGCCGCAGGGCTGGGCTGAGCACAGGCTTCCTTAGCAGCGCCCAGGGGTTTAAAATAAAGCAAAACCAAACACCCGACACCGCACAGAACCAACGAAACCGAACCCTGGCGTGCCTGGCAACGGGGAGCAGGGCGTCAGATGAGGTCGAATTCGAAGGAGCTGAGGCTGGCGATGGGCGCCCTCCAGAAGTTGAAGCTGCTGAAGGGCAGCAGGCTGTCCTCCTCCGCACGGCCGGGCTCCTGGGCCGCCTCGGGCGCTTTGCCGTGGGGGGCGTAGAGGGACCCCAGGCCCAGCCCCTCCAGCTCCGCCAGCTCCAGCCGCGGGATGGGCATCCTCCAGTAGATGAAGGAGTCGTACTGACTGCTGATGGTGTCCAGCATGGTGGGGCTGCTGGGGAGGGGAGGGGTGACTGTGCTGCCGGCAGGTGAACCCCAGCCTGAAATGCGGCTGAGAAAGGGGGCAGCCCCCCCAGCCCCCCCCCAGCCCACAGGGCTTCCTGACAGCTGGGGATGGGGAAAGGGGATTGGGGAAGGAGAAAAAGGGGGCCGAGGAAAAGGGGGAGCAGGAAAGTAGGGGGGCGATGGAGGGGGAAGGAATAAAGGGAATCCGTAGGGGGGAAGGACGGCACTGTGCGCTCTGCGGGTGAGGGCAGGAGCCGGGTCCCAGGTGAGCCCCTCCCCAGCAAAAGGCTCTCGCCCCATTTGTGCCCCGATTCCCTCCGTGTGTGTGGCTGAGCCCCCCCCGAAGCCGTTACAGCACCTGCAGCGTGCTGCTCCTCCTGCGTGCCCCCGTTTCACGCCCTGAATCCAAGGAGATGACCGAGATGCTGCTCTGAGCCCGGCCCCGGGGGGGGGGGGGGGGAACTGACGGCTAAATTTGGGCTCCCCCGTGGATGTGGAGGGCGATGAAAGGCTGCCGTGTGAGTGCAGCTCGGGGGGGGGGGGGGGGGCACAGCCCGGCAGCGCTGAGCTCAGAGCGGAGCGGATTAAAAATAATCGGGACCAAAACGCGAGAACCCCCCCCCCCCCCCCCCCAAGACCCTAAAGGTGCCCCCGGCCCAAACCGTAACGCAAATCATTGGGAAAAGGCGAGCGATGTGCAGAGCGATGTGCCGTCACCCCAAAAACCCGCACCCCGTGCCCCCCCCCCCCCACCAGGGCCGTACCTGCGGGGGGCTGCGGGTCGCTGCTCCTCTTTGTGCCTCCGCGATGCGGCGTCGCTTTTGTCTGTTGGCGCAGCCGGGTCTGCAATGCAGCCCCTCGCAGCGCCCGACGTGGGGGGGTGGGAAGGGGGGGCGTGGGCAGATGAGTCAGCAGAGCCCCCACCCGTGGGGCGGACAGATGGGATGCGGGGGGGTGGAGGGACGGAGGGGCGGAGGCGGCCCTTCGGGGGGCATCGCCCCAATCGCGGCCTCCGGCAGCGGCTCTCCCTGCGGACGGGGCTGCTGTGGGGAGGTGGGCAGGGGGCCGGGCTGCCCGTGTCCCCAAAAAGGCTTCGCGGCGCTTCTGGTCGTGGAGCAGCTGACAGATTTCGGCTTTGTTTTATTTTTGGTGCAGAAATTGACGTTGAGGTGGAAAGCGGCGCCAGGAGGCGAGCGGCCCGGCAGGGCGGGGGGCTGCTTCAGCCTGAGCGAAGCCCCCCGCCCCAGTGAGGCCCCCAGCTCAGCTGGGCACCCCAAGCCCCGCACAGCCCCCATCCTCACCAACGGCCCCAAACGGCTCCGCTGAGCTCTGCTGGGTGACCCCAGCTTTGCTGAACCCCCCCAGTCCCTCTGGGCTCCCCATCCTTCACAGCCCCCTTGGGGCCCCCAGCCCAGCTCTGCTCAGCCCCCCCAGCTTTGCGGGATCCCCAAATCCTCCCAACCCCCCCGGGATCCCTCAGCCCTCCCTGCACCCCGAACCCCCTCAGCAGCTCCACCCCGAACCCTCAGGGACCCCACAACCCTAAGACCCCCCTCGGCCTCACCGGCTGCCCCCAGTCCTTAGCAGCCCCCCAAGACCCCCATCCCCCCTCTGAGCCCCTCCAGCTCAGAAGGAATTTTTCCAACCCCATCGCCCCGCCCCCCCGCTGATCCTCAGGACCCCCAGCTTTGCCCTGCAGGACCCCCAACCCCCTGCAGCCCCCCCCCCAAGACCCCCCATCCCTATCGCCACCCCCGGCCCTGCAAAGCGTCAGCCCCCCAAATCCTTACGGAGCCCCCCACTCCCATTCCCTTCCCTGCCGAGCCCCCAAATCCCCCCGACGCCCCCTGCACCCCCAGCCCCCTCCATCCCCCATCCCTCACCCCACGACCCCGCACCCCGCTCCGCGATCCCCCCCTTCCTCCCTCCCCCCCCCCGCCTCCCGGCCTGCAATGCTCGCTCTGTCCGGGGTTGGAGCTGCGTTCCGCTCCGGGCCGCGCCGCGCCGGGAGGAGGCGGAGGAGGCGGAGGGGGAGCGGGGCGACCCGGAGCTGCGGGGCCGCGGCGGAGCGCAGCCAGGTGGGCGGGGGGCGGCGGGCGGGGGGCGCCGCGGAGGGAGCGGGAGGGGGGAGCGGGGCCGAAACCGACGTGGAGAGGAGGTGGAAAAGGGGGGGGAGGGGGAGGGAGAGGCCTGGCGGAAGAAGGCCTTAAAAACAGCCCGTAACGAAACCCCCCCGAGAGCGGTGCGGGTGGGCGCCGTGCGGTGGGACCCCCACGGGCAAGGGGGGGGGATCGAGCCGCCCCCCCCCCCGGAACGAAGCCCCTCATAGTGGGCCCCTATAGGGCCGCCCCACGGCGAGAGGGCCGCGCTGGGCCGGGCGCGGAGGCTCGCTCTCGATGGAATCCCTCAACGCGGGGGTCCTTCCCGCAGCCCCCCCCGCCCCCGCTGGTGGGGGGGCGCCCCCTCGTCCCACCCCGGATGGAGTTTGGGGGTGGGGGGGATCCCTCGGCGCTGGGGGTCGGCGGTGCTCCTCACGTTACGCCTCATGGCGGGGATCCGGCCCCCCCCGCCGACCCCAACGCGACCCCTCCGAGCTGGGGGGACCCCCTGGGCACCCCCTCGTTGGAGTAGAGGGAGGGGAAAGGGGACGGCCCAGAGCGGCCCCCGTGTCACCCCTTCGTCCTGGGGGTCCCGATCCGGTGTTCCCCACCCCTCCCCCCCATCAGACCCCCCCGTCCTCTCTAAGAGTGGGGGGGGGGGGGGGGGGGACGGGACACTGAGGGGTCGGCGCCTTTATTGGGGTTTTGGGGTCTGGAGCCCGTGGGAGGCCCCGCTCAGTTCCCCCCCCCGGTGACGCAGAGCGGCCGAGCAGTGCTTTCCCAACCGGGAAGTCATTTTGTGAGTGCCGGGCTGGGTCTGCCCGAAGGCATTTCCCCTTCCCCCCTCCCCCCAGTGACACTGGCGACTTTTCCCCAGCCTCGCAGCCCCCAAAGCTTTGCACGCGGAAGCTGAGGCCGGGCGCAGCTCATTGCACGGTTGGGCTCAGGAGACTGGGAGCCCTGTGAGCTCATCCCGAGCCCCAAACCAGGGAACCGGGGGGGAGACCTGAAGGCCTGGGGGTCCGGGTGTTCCGCTGTTTGTTTGGGGAGGGGGCTGCTGGCGGCTGCGCCCCCCACCCCAAGGGCACGAGGCGGTGGTTGTGCTCCGCTGGACTTCGGACCAACTCCGCGCTGCTGCCGGGCCTCAGAGCAGAGCCGTGCCCCCCCAGCCCCTCCAACCCACCTCCCCCCGCCCCGCTCCGGGGCTGTTTGTCGCGCTCCTGTTTGTTTCTTCCCCCGCCCCATTTGCTCTCTGAGCCGAAGCGGAAGAGCTCAACCTCCGGTCCCTTTTCGGAAATTATTTATAGCTCCTTGCTGGGGGGGCTGCGATTCACTGCCGTGCCCCCGTCCCATGGCAGCATCCCCCCACGTCCCGCACCGGGGGCACAGGGCTCCGGGTCGCCCCCACTGCGTGCCGTGGGTCAACGCTCAGCGCACTGAGGGTCAGGTTGGGGCTGTCGGGATGCCGGCTGCCCCCTCCCCCCCTTCCCGAGCGCCGTGCCTCAGTTTCCCCGCAGCGCCTCTCTCAGCCCGACCCCACTGCGCCCCATTGAGCTGCGGTGCCACTCGGGGACAAATCCTTCTCCCTGTCCCCCCCTCAGGTGCCTCCCCCCCCCGTCCCCATGGAGTGAGAGCACACGGGGGTCTCTGCAGCGGCGCAGCCCCCGCCCCGCCGGGAGGAAAGCTGGAAGGCACCGCAAATATGAGCGACTTCTGGCACAAGCTGGGCTGCTGCGTCGTGGAGAAACCACAGCCTGTGAGTAGCTGCGGCGCTTTGGGGGGGCAGGATGGTGCTGGGGGGTCCTGGGCGCAGGGGGGCTGACGGCCTTCATCCCCACGCAGAAGAAGAGGAGGAGACGGATCGACCGCTCCATGATCGGCGAGCCCATGAACTTCGTGCACCTGACGCACATCGGCTCCGGAGACATGGCTGCGGGCGAGGGGCTGCCCATGGTACGGCTGGGGGCTGGGGGCTGCCGCGATCCCACCCTGCGCAGCGGCTCCTTCCGCGTGCTGCCCTTCCGGGGGGCTGCAGCCCTCGGGCGGCGCGGCGGCGTTTCCTCCTCAGTGCCGGGCGCCCCGGGTTGGTGGAGCCGTCGCCGCGGTGGTGAAACGTTTCTCCTCTCCCTGCAGACAGGCGCAGTGCAGGAGATGAGGTCCAAAGGCGGCCGGGAGCGGCAGTGGAGCAGCTCCCGCGTGTTGTAGCATCGTGAGTACAAAGCCGGGCAGGAGCGGGGAGCCCTGAGCGCCCGCTGTCCCCGTCCGAGGCGCGCTGCTAATTAAGGCATCCAACGAGGCGCCGCCCGGGCAGTTTTTTAACCTGCCGTCTCTCCAACTTTGCAGGTTCTTGGCTCTTTCAGCCCGAACTTGAACTGCCTGATCCCCACACCGGAGGAAAAGCCAACCTGGAGCGCTCGATTCCCGCGGTAACTCGTGCAGGCGGAGCCCCACGGCCGTCCCAGCAGCTCTGGGTCGCCCCCCGCAGGTCCCCCCTTCCGCCGATGAAGGGGGCAGCAGAGCAGCGCAGCCCGCACCGGGAGACGCCGCGCACGGCCACGATGTGCCAAATCCTCCGCCTTCTCCCTTTCCCCACACTCCAGCCGGCGCTGCTGTCTCCCACGGGCCCCTCCCGGCGCTGCCCCCCACGCCTCGGTTTCCCCGTCGGACGGCAGCGGGGCGGGCTGCGCTGCAGGGGCCGAGCGGGGGAGGCGCCGCGGAGCCTCGGAGCCCCGGCATCGGGCGCCCTGCAGCTCCAGCGCTGCCACCGAGCCGCACTTCCTCCAGCCTTCAGCCGGCATCGCCGCCAGCGAGCCTCCGCCTTCCTTCTTTTGTAGGAGATCTTTTGGTTTTTTTAAAGCTCAAAATCCCCCACTTGGCCTCTCCCGCTACCGCCAGGCTTTCACCGGCACCGGCTGCTCCCCCAGGAAGGAGGGACTCTCAGGTTCCCAATTCAGGCGCACGTGTACATAGTTCAAATCGCGCCGGGGCTGAACAGGAACAAGATGAACGAGAGGCCGGAGCCACGCGGGCAGCCGAGCGCCCCTTCCCTCCCCTGTGCTCCCGGGCTGCTCAGCCTCACGGTGAGCGCGGATGCTTGAGTCAGTTTTTATCCCCCTGGAAAACCCACTGGAAAAACAACAGAACCCCACCTTTGAAATAAAATCTTGTGCTAGGCAGAGATGGGGCCCGCGGGCGGCCCAGGCTGTTCAGTGTGGGGGGACGCGGGGCTGGATGTGGGGATTTGGCTCCGTCACACCCCCAACCCAGCCCAGGAGGCTGCGCAGCACAACCTGCGGGGTTGTGGGGCAGCACTGGGGATTAATGAAGAAAAACCGACAGCCAGCAGTGGGGGGGAAGAGGCAAATTTAGTACTGAAAGGGCAGCTAACGGCCTCCAGGCAGCCGCGTGCCCAGCTGCGGCACTCAGCCCCCAACGGCCAGGAGGGGAAGAATTCCTTCAGAGCCCCAGTGCCTTCGTGGGCCGCGTGCTGCCCGGCTCCTTGCGGCCCCACAGCACCAACCCCGGAGGGAAGGGGGGCACTGGGGCAGTCGGCAGTGAGGACGGGGCTGCGGCAGCCAGCCGGGCTCAGAGGAAGCAGCGGCTCCGTGCTGGGGACGGGACCCCACAGCACCCCAGCGCCACCTCGGCCCCTCACTTGTCACAGTCGGGGGGCGGCTGCTCGGCGGCCATGCGGCTGACCCGCTCCAGCACAGCCTGGGGGCAGATGGGGGGCACAGCCTGCGCCAGCGGGCTCTCTTCCACCAGGCTGTTCATCGGGGTGGGTGGGGGGGCCACCTCCTCCTCCATCCCTGCTGCGGTGCCCGGCGTCCCCCCCAGAGCGGCCCGCAGGATGGGCAGCACCTTCTTCCTGGAGGCCAGCGTGTTGCCCTGCGCGTAGGCGCTGATGCAGGGCCAGGGGCTGGGCAGGGCCTGCAGCTGCAGCGCCGGGGTTGTGGCCTCCTCCAGCGCATGGCACACCTGGAGGGGACAGAAGGCAGCCTCTTTGTGCAGCTCTGACACCCCCGGCCCTGAACCGGGGGCTTCTAAGGACGAAACGCCCTGCTCTGCACACCCTCGTGCCGGCTCACCGTGCTGCGCAGCGCCTCGTGCCGGCTGTACACCGCCAGCTGCCGCTTAGGCTCATAGCACTCGTTAAAGGAAACCGTCATGGCCACCAGCACGGAGTAGCCACGAGCCTGGCAGAACGCTTCCAGGTCCTGCAGCAAACCGGGGCGGCGCAGGAAGAGCTGGAGGAGGAGGGCAGAGGTCGGTGTCACACATCACAGCGCTGGGCCTCAGCCCCCTCGCTGAGCCTCACCTCTATGTCCATGTAGATGCCGCTGGTGGCGAGGACTTGTTCATCACCGGAGACGGTCTTGAGGTCTTTCCGCAGCATCTGCTCCGTCGTCAGCCCTGGGAAGAGAGAGGGGCTGAGCGCGAGCACCACAGACACAGCCCAGCGCCCGGCACGGTGCCGCCGAGCCCCCAGCACCACACCTGAGACGTTGAACTTGGCTGCCTGCAGAGCTCCGTAGATGCTGTCGTGGGGCGGCAGCTCCGGGAAGCGCGACTCGAGCAGGGAGACGCAGCGCACGTCGCGGGGCGTCACTTTGCCGGCCGCGGGGCTCAGGTTCACGCTGTCCAGCAGGATGGTGCCTGCGGGGACCGGGGCTGTCGGCACACGGGAGCAGAGCCCCACGCCGGGGGAGCAGAGCCCGACCGGCAGCCTCACCGTGCAGCAGCGCCGCCGTGGTCCGGTCCAGCACACCCGGGGGGCCCTGGGCGATCCGTTCTGTCACCAGCGTGGCGCAGGAGCCCACCAGCTCCACCGTGAGCTGGCAGCTGGGTGCCCACTCCCGCTCCAGCGGCCGGTGGTCCAGCACGTCCACCACGGCCTCCTCCAGGGCTGCGTCGGCGCTGGCGGGTGAGATGGGGACGGTGAGAGCCCTGGCACAGCCCCGGCGCGCCCCTGCCATGCACCACTGTCAGCAGAGACCCCTCTGCTCCTCTCCTCCTGCCTTAAAAATACCCCGGAAGGGCAAAGGTTTTACCCACCCTGCGCTAAAATCTGACCGCTTCACGATGGGGAGGAAGAAGCGGCGCGGCGCAGCGCATCCCGGTGCTCACCTGGGCAGGACGTGGTGATCCACCAAGGTCAGTGAGAGCAGCCCGGCGCTGTGCAGCCCCGCCAGGTCGATCTCATCGCGGAAGATGAGCGAGGAGTCCGGAATGCTGTGCTCCCGCAGCAGGAACGTCGTCTCCGTGCGGAGGGCGAAGTCGGCGCGTGGGATGTTCAGCACCGGGATGAAGGCGGCTCTGGGTGGCACGGAGGTCTGCATGGGGGGATCAGCACCCGGCGCGGCGTCCCCTCAGCCCCTCGGTTGCCCAGCAGCACGCAGGCAGCCTCACCTTTGCCAGGAAATAGGCCAGCGCCAGGGCAGACACGGTGGAGTCCAGGTCGCAGGCCTCGTTGCCCATCACCACGTGCACCTCCTGGCGACGCTGGATGTGCTCCTGCCAACGAGTGAGACGTCAGCCCCGTTGGGACGCGTCTGCCTCCAAAAGCCCCCGAAGGACACAGCTGGGGGCGCGCGGAGCCATTTGTGGCCTCACACAGCAGCACCCCCAGGAGCAGCTCGCAGGGAACAGGCAAACCAAGGGGGAAACCAAGGCAGGGCTGCTCTGCGGCTTGAAAGCCTCACGTTAACAGCACACGAGTGAGAAACTGGGAGAGGAAAAACCCAAGCAGGTCACACAGCAGTGCAGCAGTGGAAATTGAGATCCTCCCCCACCCAGGGATGCAGCACCCGTGGGAGATGGAGGACCCACTGTGGACTCTTATTACTTTAACCTCAGACCAAAGTGAGTTTTCTGGAGGTGGAGGTTTTCTGGAAAAGCAAGCAGAACTTTCAGCCCTAACTGCTGCCCCAATTCACCCAGCTAGCAGACGCTGTCAGTGTGGGGCTCTGACCCCCAAAATGCCCCTTTCAGCCCAGGCAGCAGCAGGAACCCCACTGTCACCCCACAGATCCTCTGCCCCAAATCCCTCCCCTCAGCACAGCACACAACGCTGCAGGGTGACGCCCTGCCTGCAGACTTTTCCCCAGTGACAAATACTTCACAGCATAACCCAGATTCCCTTATGTATTCCACCAAAGAAGTAAACAGCGGCGGGCCGAGCCCAGCGCCTGTGCCATTCACTGCAGGTCCCCCACCTCCCGCCAAAAGCCCCAAAGAAGGGGAGGACGTGGGGAGGGGGTCCCCCCAGCCACCCGTGTGCTGTGGCTCCAGGGCCGGGGTGGAGGAGCTCCACGGAGGGGCGCAGGCGTGCAGGGCACAGCGCTGTCACCTCCAGCCCTGGGGTGGGGGGGAATGTGGGCTCCTGCAGAGGTAATGGGGGTCGCACCCCACCATTTGCGTGCTGTTCGTCCCCCTGCACCCCACACAGTGCAGTCTGTGGGATTTGCCCGCCCCCGTCCCCACGAGTCCCACTTTCCACACCCTCCGCATTCCTGCGGTGTTCCCGTGTCCCCAAACCCAAACCCCCTCTACGCCCACCCCCACGTATCCCCTTCTACCCACTGTCCCGCAACCCCCCGCGTCTCCCAACCCCGCAGCTCCCTCCCGGCCATACCTGCAGGGCCGCCCGCCGCCCCTCCAAGAACCGCTCCATGACGGCGGCGACCACCGCCCGGCCCAGGCCCCCAATCCGCGCCACGGCCCGGCACGGCCTCGAGGGCGGGGCGTCAGCACCGCGCGGGCTGCCGGGAGAGGCGGAGCGGCCCCGGGCACGGGGGACACCCGGAGCTCCGCAGGCCGGCTGCTGGGAGGGTTGGGCCCAGGCCCGAGGTGTAGGCCGCAGGCGCTGCCCGTAGGCCGCAGGCGTAGGCCCGGCCCATAGGCCTCAGGTTAGGCCGCAGGCGCTGCCCGTGTAGATTGCAGGTGTAGGCCCGGCCCGTAGGCCGCTCTCCGCCGGCCTTCCCCCGCCTTAAGGCGAACCGGCGGCCGGGGGAGGGCGGCTCCGGGCCCGGCCCCGCCGTGTGGTTGTTTATCTGCCGCTTTCTCCTCCCCCCGCCCTTCCTCCTCCGCCCTAAGTCCGCCCTCCCGGCGTAGGCCTGGCGGCGTGCGGGCCGCGCCTCTGCGCTGAAGGGAAGGAGGAGGAAAAAGGGGGAAAAAGGAGGAAAAACGGCGGCGACGGCGGCAGCGCAGCGAGGTGAGGGCGGGGGGAGCCGGGGGGCGCGGGTGGCACAGCGGGCGGTTCTGTGTGCTGGGAGGAATCCCGGCAGCTGCCGGGTTTCAAACGGCGACGCGAAATATCGGCGGACGCAATTAATGACAGCAGTAATTAGGGATGGATCGCGACGGGGGGAGCAGCGAGCATCGCCCCGCCCTTCAGCACTGAGCTCCAAACGCGGCGCGTTGCGGGGGTCGGGATCCGAACTCGGAACGTGGCGCTTCCATCCCCGCTCCTCCCCGCCCGCCGTTCGCGGCCCGCTGCCGAAGACGCGTCCGCATTTCCCGACAGCCCTGCCTGCTGCTTCCCGTGTGGCACGGCCGGATTTTGGGGGGAAGGTGAGCGCCGCGCTCCCAGCCCACGCCCGGCTCCTCCGGGAGGCGTCGTGAAGCCGGGAGGCTCCTCGGCTCCTTTTCCCCACGCCGTGCCCGCGGTGGGCAGGCAGAGCTCCTTGCGCGGCCGGGCTGCTGGTTGCGCCCCTTCCCCACCGGCAAATCTCGGGCGCTGCTCTGTGCAGGAAATGCTAAAAGATTTGGAAATCCTGAAGGATTTCCTGTTTGAAAGCCGGCCCAACCAGCGGGTCCGGTCTGGGGCTTCCTGCTGGCGCCTGTTTGCAGCAGCTTTGGAAAAGCACCCGTGAGAGGAGCTCGAGCCGTGGAGCCCACGACCAGGTGAGGCAGCGCTGCAGGCTTTCAGACCTGTTTGTCCTGCTGCCCTGAGCTCCCTGCGGGGCCGCCCCAGCCGGGGCTGCACTGTGGGCTCACCGGGGAGTGCGGGCGTCGCATTTCCCAGCAGGGAGGTTTGTTGCTCTGCAGCACCAGCAGCGCGCTTTTATTCTCACCTCCCCGCCGTGGCTGCTGGACGCCGTGGTTTTGCGCAGAAAGGAGCGGGGCAGCAGCGCAGGACGACTTCATGGCCTCCGTCCAGCGGAGCGCTTCAGCGCGGCTTTGCTTTGGGCCCCGCGCTCCTTTGAGAGCGCTCTGCTGCTGCTTGGCTGTTTGAGTGCTTTGCTTCCCTGGCTCCAGGCCTGAATTCCTCTTTGTTTTCGTGCTGTGGGATGAGCAATTCACAGCGTTGTTTTTCTGCTTCCTACCTCTGAAGCGTAACGCTGGGCTGTGGTTCCCATCCCGGCAGTGGGGAATGGCGAGCTTTACCTTGGCAGCTCTGAGCTTTCAGTTTGCCTTTGAGCACTGCGCACCCATTTGCTTCCCTTGTGGGTCTTCCTTTCCAAGAGCGCAGCACTCCTTGGGCTCCTGGGGGGCAAAGGGGACGGGCTCATTATAAAGCTGCCGGGTCGCGGTGCCTTTATTGCCATAACGCCCAGGGAAGGCGGGGTCTGACTGCGCTGCTTCGGTCCAAACCCGGCGAAGCCGCCCTCTCCCCGCAGAGCTTTTCCCAGTTCCGCAGCTGGTTTGGTTTAAAGCTGCCAGGACCCTCTGAACCTGCAGAGCCCTTCAGCCCGAGGGTGGGTTTGCGGGGTCGGCGCCTTCGTGGCGCGTGCCGGAGCTCCTGGGCCTCTGCTGGGGGGGGAAGGGCTGCTGTCAGAGCTGAGCGGTGCCAGGAGGGCGAGCCGGGGACGGGCTGACGTGGGAGGGTGACTCAGAGCCACGCCGAGGGAAGGGCTGCGGGCCGCGGCGTCCTGCTGTCTGCCCGCCCGCTTTGGAAGTGAATTGGGCGCAGTGAGACGGCGCAGGGACGGGGCGGGGAGCGGCTGCTCGGCTTCGCCTGGGAAAGGAGCCCCTTCTGGCAGCGGAGCTCACAGCCGAGCGTTTGGGTTTCGGTGCGTTTTGGAGGATTTTGCCTCATCTTTGGCTGCGTTTTGACTTCGGGATCCCCGGTGGGCGGGGAAGGCGCGGAGCCGGCACCGAAGCGGCGCAACGCTCTCCAAAAGTGCCCCGCTTCTTCCCTTGGAAGTTTCCCGTTCAGCCGCACCCGGATGGGAGCAGAGCGCACAGGGGGTGCCGTGTGGGGGTCCCTGACCGCTGCTGCTGTGGGGGGCGGCGGGGCCGTGAGGAAGCCCTGAGCGCTTGCACTGCGCTCTGCGTCCTCCGTGCGCGGGGCGGCTGCGCTCTGAACGGCGGAGCCCCGCGGGGCCGCACGCAGCGCTGCGCTGCCGCTGCTCAGCTGCGCGCATTGCCTGCTTGTGATCCCTGCTCGCGCGGCGCAGCGCCCGGTCCTGGTGAGATGGGAACGCGCTGATCGGTTTAATAAAGGTCGCCGCGCGGGATCCAGTTAGCCATCGTTGGTCCCCGTGTCCCTTCCGTGTTCTGCAGGAGTGTGACCAAGCACTGAGCTCCTGCAGCTATGGCTTAACGAATCCATCCGCGCTCGCAGCCGTAAGAGGCCCCTCATCGTCGGGCCAACGTTCCCCTGTGCCCCAACACCTCGCAGTTTCTCCACATCTCCTTTTGTTATTATTTAAAGGGGCCGTAGGACTTGGGGGCCCAGACAGCGGGATTCCTTTTCCCACGAAGAGCGCAGAGTGCTGCACGTAATCGTGCCTTGCTTGCATAGTAAGCAGCAAGATATGCAAATGAGAAGACAAAACCACAATTAACAGCACAATGCCATATTTAAGCAGGCCTGCAGCCGTCCATCCAGACCCAAACTTCCGGGGGATTCCACGTTTTGCCCGATCAAAAAGCAGCCGGGGCAACGCGAGTCCCCGTGGTTTCTGTGCCTTTGGCCGCGTGGTGAGGTTCTGTGTCCTGCACCCTCCGGGGCTGCTGGACCGAGCAGCAGCAATCGTTCCATGAAGTAACAACGCGCTGCCAGGCGCCCCCAAGTGTTTTCATCCCGTCCATCACAGGAACCCATCATACAAACACGCTGCCGTACTGACCTGACAAACGCAATCCTTGTGGTGCAGCCTTGAGATATTCCAGAGATTCTCTATCAAATGCCTGTGTTCCGAGGCTGAATTGTAGTTAGGTAGCTCGGCAATGCCAGCCAAACAATTGAATCTCCCCAGCTCCACCGTGGCAGTGGAGATGTTGGCCCAGGCCATTCTGTGCCTTTCCCCATAATACAAGCGGGGCAGTAAAAGATTTTGGCAGCATCGCTCCATCTATAAAAGCATCCTTGGTTGCCCCTTTCCATCTCTGTCCCGGATCAGAGCCGTCCAGGTCGGGTGGAAATAAATCCGGCTCCTGCTCTGGATCCGAGGACTCTTCTTTTCCCTCCTCGACCACCAAATGCTGACCTGGCCAACGCCGCTTTCCTAAATCCTTTCCCTCAGCCTTCAGTTCTCCCCTATTGCACCCTTTCCTTTCTGAAGCCCTTCACCTTTTCCTCCCTTCTTCCCTGCTTCCAAAAAACACGTCAGCAGTGTTCAGCTTCCTTCCCCACCGATTCCGTGCCACTTCCAACACCTCACCACCCTCAGCATCGCGCCGCCCGCCGAGGCTGCCTGTCTCTCCGAGGCCGCCCTTCCTGCAGTCACGCTCCTCGCTCTGCAGACGCGCCGCCCTCCCTTTTCCCCCCGGACCGCGACACCAACACCGGCGAGCTGCTCTTCCGGACGGCTCCGCCCAGGCAGCACGGCTTCGGGCGCGGCGCGGTGTCGCTGCCGAATGGTCTGAGAGTCCTTAGGATCGAGATCCGGATCCTCGACAACGGGTCCTTTTGTTCCCGCAGCGAGGCGCGCAGTCACAAAACGTCGCTGACTCCTCATCCAACGAACGGGGGGAGGCAGCGGAGGAGGGATGTGGGATGAGGACAAATCGACATCCATCTTATCCTCTGCTGGGTGCACTGCTGCTGCATCCGGAGGCTCAGGGAGCACCAGGAGGGGACGAGAGCCTCGCTCCTGTGACCTATCGCATCAGGGCAGGCCAGCAGGGGCCTCGCCGCCGTCAGAGCTCCGTGCAGCGCCTCCTCGACAGCAGCATCACCCTTAGCATCAACAGTGCCAACAGCCGCGCTCCTTATTGCTAGCGGGCTCCGAAAGCTCCTGTCCGATCTCCACGGTCGCTCGTCACTCAGGTCAGCAGCTCCCACGGGTCGCCCCCGCGCTGGGCGAAACGGAGCAGCGCGGCCGGCTGCAGCCGCTGGAGAGTAAGCGCGATGCGCGGAGAGGAGAGCGAACGGGGAGCGGTGCGCGCTGCGGGCCGCCAGCCTTTGGCCGCGCTGCCCGCCGGCCGCCCCGAGCCACGTGGAGGCGCCGCTCGTGACCGGCAGAACCCGGCTCGGTTGCGCGGATCGCCGGCGCCATGAGCCCAGCCCGCAGCGCCCGGTCCTGGCGAGATGAGCAGCGCTCATTGGTTTTACGGAGGTCGCCGTATTTGGGCTCGTTGGCCCTCATTGGTCCCCGAATTCCTTCCGTGTTGCGCGAGTGTGACTGAGCGCGGAGCTTCCGCGGAGGCGGCGTAACGGATTCGTCCGGGTTCGCGGCCGTGCGGCTCCTCGTCGTCCGGCCAGCGCTCCCTTGAGCCCCGACGGCTCCCCACAGCAGGCGGCGCCTGTTTGCATCGATCCGCCGCTGCCCTCCCTGCTGCCCCGCCGGGTTGGAAACGGCCTCGGCGCTGGGCAGGGAGGGGAAGGAGGAGGATTAAGGCGTAATGGGATCTGTTGGTGACTCAGCCCGGGTGCGAGACTCAGCAGAGCCGTGCGGCCCCGTGGGGAGAGGCGGCAGTGTGGAAAATGGGGACAGGTGGGGGGGGCGGCCGGAGCTCTGCGTGGAGCCTCGCTGACACCCAGCGCAGCTCGGGGCTGCGGCTCTGGGCGATGCTGCACCTCTGGGCTCGGGGAGGCGGCAGAGCTGCGCCGTTGGTGGCGCCGCTTCGTCCAACTGGTTTCCTTTCTGGTCTCTGTGCAGGACGGGCTGTGGGAGGAACACCAGCATGGGCAGAGCTGCAGGTGGGCAGATCCGAACTGCGCGGAGCGGCCGTGTCGTGTTTGCGTAACTCCAGGCTTTGGCTGCGGTGATCATCCGGCGGGGATAAACGCCTTCAAGGACACCTTCGTCCTCCGCCCCGTGGCTCTGGCTGGGCTGCCAGCAGGATAAGGGTGCGGGTGGAACGCTTCAGCCCTCAGCTCGGCTCTGGCGGCTCTCGCAGCCCTCGCTCCTTGCTGCTGGGGGCACAGGGAGCCGAACCTGCTGAGCTGCCGGCGGCCGGGACGCGGATGCAAACACAGAGGCAGAGCTGGGGCAGCGCTGCCTGGCATCCACAGCGAGCGGCCGAGCGGAGCAGGAGGAGCTTGTGAGGACACCTTCCAGCAGCGCCTGCGGGCCGGCAGCCCCTGGAGGGGCCTTTCAGCTCTGCTGTGCAGTTCGGTGCCTCAGGTCAGCGCTCCTTTGGATTGCTCCCGTTGTTTTGAAGCGACAGGCAGCGCCTGGTGGGGGAGTCGGGCTCCACATGTGCTTTTTTGTGGAGTATCCAGACTTTGCATCCTAAGAAAGCGGAGGTTGGGACCGCAGCAGGGCGGAACTGAGTGCTCTGTTGGGAGCATCCGCCCCATCAGAGGATCCTCGGGACCACTCTGCGCTGCTGTCAGATGCTCTGAGCTGCCGGGATGGAGCTGCAGTCTGAGCTGGGGGCGATGCTCAGCACCACGGGGGACGATGCCCAATGCCCAAAGAGCCCTGAGCCCTGCCAGCCGCCACGGGACGCGGGGGGGTCCGAACAAGAGGGGGAACTTCCGTCTGCCAGCGGGCAGAGCCCGGCACTGCAGGAGGAGGTGCCCCATCCCAGCACCACAGAGGAGCCCCCTGAGCAGCAGGAGAGCGGAAGCCGAGGTGCCCAGGAGGAGCTGCCCACCAGGGAGGGCGATGCATCCCCCCAGGCAGCGGCTGAGCCCCCCAGCGCCCGCTCCCCCAGCCGTGAGCCTGAGCCGGATTTCTACTGTGTGAAGTGGATCACGTGGAAGGGAGAACGGACGCCCATCATCACCCAGAGTGAGAACGGGCCCTGCCCGCTGCTGGCCATCATGAACATCCTCTTCCTGCAGTGGAAGGTGAGCAGCGGGGGGCCATGGGGTCGGACACATTTGCTCCACGGAACCCCGATAGGGACTTCTGGGGGGGGCGGCTGGGGGCTGTGAGGTGACACGGTGGGAAGGAAAAGGAGGGCGAAGGCGTCTCGGCCTGCCGCCTCATCCAGCTTGGTCTGTGCTGCCGAGCTGGGGGGCTTACGGCACTGGGGGGCTCTTCTGACCACCCACCCCCATCCAATGTGCTTCCAGGTGAAGCTGCCCCCGCAGAAGGAGGTGGTGACATCGGAAGAGCTGATGGCACATCTGGGTGAGTGGGGGGGGGGGCAGTGCTGTCACTCTGGGTTTGGGGGCTGGGTGTGAGGCAGTGGCCCGTCTGCCACCCGTTGGTCCATTGCAGTGCTGCCCGTGGGGTCCGTCCTCCCGCCACGCTCCCTGTGCACAGCTTCTGAGGGATATTGCCTCCGGGTGCAGAGGAGGAGGGGGACGTGGGGCCCAGACCCTTTCTTCTGGGGGGCTTTGGTTGGGGAGAGGAGCAACAGACAGGGGAGGGATTCCCAAGGTGGGGCTGAGCTGCGCTGGGCTCCGTGCGCCGCTGGGAGCCCCGCAGTGACCGTTCTGCGCTGCATCCAAGGGGACTGCATCCTGTCCATCAAACCCCAGGAGAAGTCGGAGGGGCTGCAGCTGAACTTCCAGCAGGTGGGCAGCGCGGCGGGACGGGGGCCACCCCCCCATTTCCCTGCTGTGCACGGCGGGGTGCCTCACGTCTCCCAGCTCTGAGCGCGGCCGTTGCGCGGCGCTGGGCCCTGGGCTCCTCCTGAGCAGGACCTGGTGCCGCTCCCCAGAACGTCAATGACACCATGATGGTGCTGCCCAAGCTCTCCACGGGTCTGGATGTGAACGTTCGCTTCACGGGCGTCTCCGACTTCGAGTACACACCAGAGTGCATCGTCTTCGACCTCCTCAACGTCCCGCTGTACCACGGCTGGCTGGTGGACCCGCAGGTGGGCGCCGGGGCTGGGCTCTCTCTGGGGCACCGCTGGCCCCGAGGGATGCCGCAGTGACGCCA